AGATTTTTATTATTAAGATTGCCGGGAAATATAGAGAGGAGAGAGAGAATGGCAGTTAAAAAAATTTGTTTTCTTTAAAAATTATCGATATATTGACTGAAAAAATTTTTTTTAATTTAATTAAATAAATAAATATTAATGTTTTTAAAGTTTATTTGCGCCAACAGTCCAGTCCCGGCATAGCTGTTTACAGAATTTTCTCTCTGGAACTTTCGTCTCCAAGACATTTCGGAACCTCCGTCTATTAATTACTCGGAATTTTCGTCTCCGCAATTTTTGTCTCAGCTAGGAATTTTTGTCTCTAGAGGAAAAATCGGCTAAAGAGTAAATTTTGCGGAGGAGGATATCCGGAATTAATACAGTATTTACTGTATTAATTACCCTGGGAATTATTATTTCGATCTCTCGCTGTAAGAGGTAACCAAAAAACACAGAAAAACACACATTTATTGATGGTGTTCAGTTTTTTTATTTTTAATTAAAATACATGTATGTTTTTTGTTTCATTCTATAAATTTTTTTTATCCAATATTTATCCAAAACTTTACTCAATTTAAATTATAAAAATAAAAAGTTTTTAATAATAAATGTATATAAAATGATTTCCCAAAAAATGTCAAAAAAGTTTTTCTCGTTTTTAAACTAAAAAATTGATTTAATATATAAGGTAAAAATTATCATTGTTTTTAAAATTTAATTGGTTTTAATAAAAATTCTAAAATTCTAATTTACCAAAAATTAGAAAATTTTAGTTTAAAAACGATCTAGAGTAATTCCAGTTGCAAATAAAAAAAAGTAGGGATCGGTCATTCAAAAACTCGATACAAATCTCGTTCTTTACAAAGAACCGATCCCTTATCAAAAACAAACCAAATAAAAAAACCAAATTTAAATAAATCAAAAATTCTTTCATCTTTAACCCAATTTAAACATCCCTCATAAAAACCCAAAAAAATTTATCGTTAAATAACCCTTCCCAAAAATAAATTTAAAAATTCCAAAATCCATTTGTTTCTTCTTCTTTTCCCTTCATAAAACATATTTCCTAAACACCAACAACGCTTTGAATTGTTTGAAGAAAAACATTTTTAGCTCTAACCCCATTGTTGGAAAAATTAGAAAGAATCGCGTTTTTGAATTCAGTTATTTTTTGTTGATATCTATTGCTAAAAGAGATATTTAGTGTGTAAATTTTTTTAAAAATATTTTATTTTTACTTGGGGGGGAGGGGGGGGGGGGTACCTATATTTTTGGTAAAACAAAAATCAAAATTTACTACAGATATTCAACTTTAAATTTTAAATTTAAGCAATAAACTTTCCGGGAACAGTACAATAGCTAGCCTAATATCTACATATGCCACTCACCCATTTTTAGACATCTTAGAGACAGCTTGACTTAATTCTCTTTCAAAATTATCATTTCTTTGTATTTCATTCTTGCTGTCCCTCCAGAGTAGACTTACATATATCCCAATACCCAAATGTTCGACAAGAGAAGCATTGAGGAATTGGTCAGTAGAATTTGGAATGCAAATTAAAGGAACACCTCCATATATTGCCTTAAATTATATTTTAAAATTTTTTAAAACAAATTTTCTAATTCGTTAAAATTCGTCCTGCATTTGATAAAATTGTATTTTTATATAACAAAAGGTGACATTTTCGTAATAAAGGTACCCCTTTTAGGGTAAGTCAAAAATTCAAAGGTAGTATGGGGCAATATCCGTATGTAGTATTAACGAAATTCAACTGTACCTCGGTTAAGCTGTTCTGTCCACAATGCGAAATAAACAATTTTGTATTTGGGTCAACTAAAAAGTTTAAAGAACGACTAATTTTTTGAAATTTCCTTTTAAATTTATAAGTATTACCAAAGTATTAACGATCTCTCTTTGAGTCTTTAAATTCAGAATTGGCTCTTGAATTCGTTATGAATTCATTATTAAGTAAAATTGAATAAGAGGAGAAGTCAGGTAAATTTCTACATCGCCATGGGGGGGGGGGTTTCAAAAAAAGTCAGCTTTCCCTGACATACTGAAATCTCAAGGTCAGAACGATTAGTTCATGTTCGAAATCGTCTAATACAAATATAAATGGAGGGAATACCAATAAATGCCCAATTATACCCAATTACCAATTTAAAAATATATAATTTACATAATATTTTTTGTTGTTCAATAAATTCATGTGTAATTTCAATATTTGGAGAACTTGGTAGATTATAATTAGCAGGTAATTTTATTTTAAATCTATAATTAGTAGTATGTTGACTAAATATATTTGTTATTATAGAATCAAAATCATCCATGCTCATTCCACCATCCATGTTAACCGTACCAAAAGAGACAAGGACAAGAGGAAAAGGCTTAAAGATATTTATTTTTATTTTTTGAATTAAAAAATGATTAAACAAATTATAATAATGAGTAGAATTTTCAGGATTTTGAAAGATTTCTGATACACGTACAAAAATCTTCGGTTCAGTTCCGAATCTAGGCCTAATAATTATTGTTAGATTGAAAGAATTATCAGAGATAAAAAATTATTAGAAGGATGTCAAATCTCGCGACCTTTCGAAGGATATGAGAATTATTCGGACCGGTCAAAAATTAAGAAAGCTATGGCCATATACTGAATCGGGCATTTCCCGAAATTAAAAACCCCTGGTTTGAGTGTCAGAATATCGTGATGTGTTTTAAACCAATTTAAAGAATTAAACTCAAACAAGCAAACAAAACCCCCGAAACCGATATGTCCGCGTGCCTTTTAATTTACATTAAAACATTTTACTGCTTATTAAAATTAATAATTAGGGTTGTTGGCGGACGGTTAACCGAACCGGAACCGGAACCGTTAACCGGTGTTTTTGGCGAATTAACCGGAACCGAAAACCGGGGGTCGAAAACCGGCGATAACCGAAAACCGGTGACCAAAACCGCCCGGTTTCGGTTTTAAAAATACACCCCTAACGATGGAAATTTTTAGGAATTTTTCGGAAATTCGTATGACTAAAATACATTTTGGCAAAATATTTTCATCAAAATTATTAAAAAAAACAAAATATATATAATAATTTTTTTGTCTTTTTGAGGAGATCCGTAGTTTAGTGGGTAAGCTGGCGGGCGACAATGTTCATAGGATTGCGTTCAATCTTACTTTGTGTATGAAGTTTATTTCAGTATTTTTAATACCAAAAATGAAGTTTAAGCTTTTAATTTTGATCTTAAATATGCAAATTTATTTTTAAACATTATCAAAAGTGTAAAAAGTTGTAGCTAATTTTTTAAATGGATGAGGAAAAAGATAATGAAAACAGCGAATTTTTACCTACTGTTTTCCAAAATTCTCAAAATTTTCGCCTGCGGCGCTGAAAAAAGAATCTGGCTATTGCCTTCCAAAATTCTCCAAAATTTTCGCCTGCAGCGCTTAAAAAGAACGAAATCTGTGACTTGGCCATCCAAAATTCTCATTTCACTTCATTTCACTTCAATTCTCATTTCACTCATTTCACTTCATTTTCAGCGCCTGCGGCGCTGAAAATTGAAATCGGGGTTTTTGGAGGGATATTTTGAGATATTGCATATCGAGGATATCAAGAGACAACACCTCTTATTACTCATTCATCCCAACGCCTTGATAACTTCTCATCTCCCAAATCCCCGATGAAGTGTATAGAACATTTATTTAAAAGCATTAGAATGTTACAACATCTTAATGGGATATTCTGGATGAGAATTTGTCCTAAAACCGGTCCCGGTTAACCAAAAACCGGGGGTAAATCAAAAACCGGAACCGAAAACCGGGGGTCGAAAACCGGCGATAACCGAAAACCGAGGGTACCGGTTAATAACCGGTCGCCAACAACCCTATTAATAATCATTCTTGCCTCATTTTTATTTTCCGTGTACAAATATTTATCTTCTTCAACAAGAATACCTCCAATATAAACAATTCTATTATCTTCCGGATAATTATTGAAATTGGCATATGAATGTTGATTAACAAAATGATAGCTAATTTTATTGAATAAATTTGAAAAATATTCTCCCCTGTTTTCCCTAGGTATGTTCATAGTCTTGGCCAATATTTTGACAGCTTTTTGATAAAATTCGTTATGTGAATTAATCTGTTCTCTATGTTCTTCCAAATTTGCCTCAAATCTGTCGGGTTTAAAATAACATCCATCCTGTGTAAATATCCAATCTTTGGGTTTCGCAAAATTTAATGCTTTAATTTAAAAACACGTTTTTATAAAATCTACTTAAGAATAAAATCCAAAATAATTTAAATTTTGAACATCCATCAATAATTATTAAGATTGAAATTTTTTTGACTATATTTTTGGACTTTTATTTTGTAACATAAATGGGGTTCTATTTATACTTTTGTAAGCTTTAATATATACCGAGTTTTATACTTAGTTTGGAACATTAATAATAAGTCCCCTTCGAGTAATTCAGGATTAAATAATTATTAAAATTCAAGAAATTTTATCAGTATTCAATTTATATTTTTTATGATCCTAAGAGTGTTGCCTATTTTCTTGCAAAAGGGCAACTATCTTTACCACAATTTTATTAAAAATTTACCTGGAATAACAAAACCTTCACGATTTTGTTCTAAAAGATTAATTCCAAAGAATTGAAGATATTCAGGAAAAATAAGAAAGGGAAAAACATTGAAAGTGTTTTCAATCCCCAAAAATTCAAAAATAGCAAAAGAGCCAGCATTTTCATTAAAATCGGCGATTCCAAAAGAATAATTTTGTTGATGAAGATATTCAAAAATATGTCTATATTCATCTCCAATTATGACAATAGGGTTATTTATCACATCTTAAAAATAAAAATATGGACCACGTTGTTTTTGTACATATGTGCCGCAGAAGTGTGAGCTTACAATTAGTTTATAGTTGGATCAATCTAGCCCTATTAGTCCCTGATATAGTCATCTGATCCAACCCCAATCAACATTCGACTACTTTGTAACTTTGTTGTAATCTTTGATAATTCTCGGACATACTATGTACTCGGACATTCGTTAACCTACACTTGAAAGTAACAAACAAGGATTTGAGGCTCACCAACGACATTGTCAGAAATTTGATAAAAAAGACTACCTAACTACAACTCTTTAAAGGCCATAAAAAAGCACTTACCTTCAAAAATCCCAGCAAAATATTTTTCTGAAACTTTAAAATCGAGATAAGCTTTTTCAGGAACTTTTCCCCTACGCAGATGTTTTCTGTCTATATTCAATTGAATAATTTGTAAATCGTTTGGCATTGGATCTAACTCAACAGATTCACCGTCTTCTTTATTATAAACAATTATATCCTGTAAAATTATTTTTTTCATATTTTTTATGAAATTTTTAAATTTAAAGCCCTCATAGAATTATAATAAATTATCAGTTGAAGAATACGTCTTCAACCTTACAATACCCGCAACCACTCTATGAGTACCAACATCGATAAAAGTCCTTCAAAAGTAAATAATCTATTAAGACAAGATAGTGGATGGATGATCAATCCCGTGTTAAATATCAAAAACTCATTTATTCAAATAACTCACCACAATGTAGAATTCAGATAAAGCCTTGGCAAGATTTAACTAAAAATTTTAATAATTAATAATGTTTAAATTTGAAACAAATTTTTCTCTAATGATCGCAAAAATAAATTGTTTAAGATTTACTAGAAGGCTACTAGAAGGCAAGATGCTCTAGAAGGCAAGATGCTCACAGTAAAATGGATGGTAAATCTAGGCACCTCTCGGACATAACAAAAAATAGTTTTGATGCGCACTTCTCTTAGTCCATAAGATTTTAAATTTGTAAAATGAAAAAATATTTACATGTAATTGAACGTGAGAGCGGAAAAAGTTATCGAAAATATACAAAGCCCTTTTCTTCGAATTTCCTCCTTCAGTTCCACTTCCTTCTACTACATGTGCCTTTCCTTTACGTTGTCCTGGTTGATTAGACCTTCTATTACTTTCACCTCCAAAACACCCAGATTTATTACCCCTTTTACAGCGACGATGGGATAATAAATTATTTTTTCCTTCATTTCTTTCAACAGAAATGTTGATAAAAATTAACAAAAAGAAAATGTAAAAAATTAATTTTAAATAATACATTTTCTGCAATTAAAAATAAATATTCATACTAATGGATGGATGAAAGCACTATATTGAAATGATTCGAATGATATGGGTACTGTGTCTGAGATAGTTGGGGAGAGAGTCCGTTTTCATGATATTCTTTAATATGGAGATCCTGTCTATTTTCGAATGGGTTAAAGCTCAGGAATATTTATCATAGAGAATAACGTATTTTCTCACATACAGCCAAAAGTTCTCCAGACTAGGGCTGTATTAGAAGATGTCTATTTTTCAACTATCCTAAAAAGCTGGACTGTAAATAAGGAAGTCTTTGGTAGTCCGAATATAATAAGGATGTCCGAATAAACTTTTTGACTGCCCGAAGGATAGAAATAGCTATAGCTGAGCTGCTTTACTAAGTGTGATAAGGTCTTGTCAAGCAATACTACCTCCCCATCGACAAGTCTTTATATTTAACACGTGGAATATTTTTAATTAAATTTTCTTACAATAATTAAAGGAAGTTAGAGAAAAAGATTTTTTTAATTATCGACTAAATTAAAATAGTAAGACAAATAATTAAATAAAATTTTAAATAAAATTTATTTATTTAAATAAATATTAAAATTTTTAACATTTAAATTAATGATGTTCCTTTCAAAAATAAAATTTTATCAAAAAAACCATTCTTAGGGGTGCAAAAATTTCTCGACTTAGTCGGGAATTGATACCGGGTGTCGGGATCGGGAGGCCAAAAATTCGGGAAATTTTCCCGAGTCGGGATACCCGAACACCACTAATTTACAGAACAACTTAATTATCCAATCAAGGAAATCAACAAAAACTGGGTACATTGGGGTTTACGTCTTGGCCTTTTCTTTTACTTATATTCTGCTTAAACTTGACTAAAGATAATTGCAACAAAGCAATTAACAATCAGAACATCATTAAAAATCTGAAGCATTTTGTTTTTGAGGGACAAAAAGTGAATTGTTAGCGAGGGACCTAAATTTCTAATATAAAACAAAAATAATTTCCATAATTACCTTTTCTTAGATTGTTGGAGATAGCCAATTCTTATATATTCAACCTAAAAATAATTTTAAAATTAAAAAAAAATATTTTTTTGTTAGCATAAGAGAGATACCAGAAAAGTTGTTAACGTAATCCAGGCTTTAAATGCTTCCCTTTTTCCTCTGACAGGCTCTGACTGTTTTGAAAAAAATATTTTTTTTTAATTTACAATTTCCTCACCTTAGCAAAAGCATCACTAAGGCACTCTCCGAAATCGTCCCAAATTTTTACTTTGTTTAAAGTGCCCCCAAAAATTATAAAATGTTTTTCGCCAATTTGTTGGCATTTTTGCTTAAAAATAATTATTTTTTTGAATAATTTTTAAAAATATTTAGTACTTGACAACAACGTACAGGCCCATTTAAATTTTGCATTAAATAGTCTATTAATTCAATTAAAACACGTAAATGTTCCTCAAAATAATAATAAATTTTGTGAAATATTTAAGAATAAAAACTTTTTGATCGCAACATTTTCCAGACAAAAACCCCTCTACAATAGACATTTTTTGAAACTAAAATTTGAAAGGGGGATTATTTTTATTTAACAAATTTAGATACCATTTCTCGTGCAGAACTGTTATTGAGAGTTAAATCACTGAAAATAGAAATTTTATTTTAATATTTATTGTAGGATAGGGGGTTTGTATATTAGGTGGGCAATTATTTTTAAAATCAAAATAGGTATTTAAATTATTTATTTACTCAGTTATACCTTCTCTCATGCTGATAACAATAAGTCTAAAGGTATTATTATCCTTTACGTTATTATTATTATTACTTTTATTATTATCCTTTTTTATCATTATCCTTTATCCTTTATGTCGTACATAGCTGCTGCCGGGGTATCTCCGAATAAAAAATAACTGCAGTCTACGGATTTGTCTGTATCTAGGGCTATGACCATTAGCCAATTGCCTACCTAGTCTATTTATTATCCCTTGTAGCAAAGTATTAGAGTAATAGATAAATTTATGGATTAATTAAATATGTGATTTAAAATCAGAATTTAGAGACCAAAATTTTAAAATAAACAAAAGATAAGTAAAATCATTTAAGAAAAATCAGAACTTATAAAATCTTTATTTTTAGTAAGATCAGAGATAAAAGAAATTATTATTCTGATTTGTAAAATTAAATTCTGATTTTATTATTTTATTACCGAAAAACTGTTAATAAAGCGCCTTGTGATTTAATTCGAGGCCAACTCTGTTGCAATATTTGAAGTTGATAACTAAAAGAATTTTACAACTTTAAATCCTTAAAAATTAATTTTTACCAAGATAATTTTAAATGTTCTGCTAAAGAACATTCACTTCCTGTATTATTAACTTCCTCATTATAACTCAATTTTCTAGGAACATTTCCAACAATTGCGCGGGAATGTCGTTGTTTCCAACAGAAAGAAAATGTTTGGAAAGAATTGAAAGGAATTTTTGGGCGGAGAATAAAATAAATAAAAATATATTTTTATGATTAATACGTTTTTTCCCACGCAAATTTCACTCTTTTTAAACCGTCAAATTTTGATTATTTTTCAGTCGCTTTTGAATTTCGAATTTTGGAAGAAAATAAATATTTTATTGTGGAAATAAATTTGAGAGTTAAATTAAGGGGCTTTAGAGAAATTACCCTAGAAAATATATAGGAAGGAAAACCTTATAATTAATTTTAATATTTTGGTTTTCATATGGTGCCACGACCCGGGAGTCCTCTAATATAATCCTGCCATTGATTGGCCCTTTCTTCGAGACGATTAACTAGACGTCGCAATTTTACTAACCTTGTCCTTAACATTTCCATACCTTCAACTGTGCGCTCTTGGGCGTCCAAAACGGGGCGAATTTCCTCAATATGTTCACGCAATCGCGTTATAGCCGGAGTCATAGCTTGACGAATAGTTCCGGACATTATTATTCTTCTACTAAAAAAATATAAACCTCAAAAGTTATATCTGATTGTTCTTCAAACAATCAAAAAAAAAAAATTTTATTCAAACAATTTTATTCAAAGCGCCATTAGAGCACCATTATGCGGAATGGATAGAAAATGCGCATGAAATGATTGCGGATATTGAGATTTTGTTGACAGAGTCAGAAGACGGCAGTACTCAGTCCGATCTTTCTGTAGAATTGGGAGTTGGACAAAATAGAGCCAACCAATCAAGGAGGCCAGAAGCTCCAATAAATGATGGGCAGACTCCGTTAAATGAGAATTTATTTCGTAGGAATGAGTATAATATTCCTGCGCATTTGCCTAGGACTAGGTTGGCAGAGTTTTATGGAGACCCTCTAGTTTGGCCAGAATTTTGGCAATCTTTTAGTAGAACTGTAGATAGCCTGGTGATGGACCCAGGGCTAAAAGCACATTATTTAATTCAGTGCCTTAGAGGTAAGGCCAAAAGGGCGGTTTTGGGTTATCGGCCGATTGCCGAACATTATGAACCCCTCAAGGATGCATTAAAAAGACAGTTCGGGAATGAAAAAGCAATAAGGGATACTCTCCATGCCGAATTAATTAGCCTTCCTATGGCAAATGAATCTGTTTTTTCTCTTCGTTCGTACCTTGAGGAAGTTGAAAGGATTTGTAGATCCCTCACAGCAATGGGAAGAGTTGAAGATGAATCTATAGTAATGATGGCAATCAAGAATAAGTTGCCAAAAAATATTGTTTTAGAATTGTTAAAAAAGGAAAAAGAAGCAAGAGCGACTTGGAATGTTGATGAATTAAGAAAAGGTTTAGAAGAGATAGTAGCTCTTAGAGAAGAAGCGCAAAGGTGCGTACAGACATTTTCTAAAAATATTAATTATAGCCAACAGAGGTTTGGTAACAATTGGAATAATAATAGAGGTTTTAATCAAAAGCGAGCTAATTTTAAAAGAGAAAATTTTGATCGGGTGTTTATGGTACAATCAGGTGATTATAAAGCAAGAAACAATAGAAAGTTTGAAATTTCTTGCTATTTTTGTCATGGAGCTCACCACGCAGAAAAATGCGAAAAAGTGAAAGCGATATATATTAGGACAAAAATGCTTACAGAGCAAAATCGATGTTTGCTTTGCTTAAGGAAGGGCCATACAGTGACGAACTGTGTCACTAGAATTGAGTGCAATATTTGTAGAGGACGTCATAATAAATTGATCTGTCCAAATTTATATAAAAAGGTAATAAATGGAAAAGAATTTAAAAAAGTTGAGCAGGTAAATCAAGTAGAGACTTCGGAAAATCTACTTACTATAGTAGAAAAACCGAAGGAAGTTGCATTAATGCAAAGTAATATGGTTTTATCCAATTCAGTAATTAATAAAAAGTGCAATTCGGTTGGCTTATTTGATACAGGAGCCACTATTAATTTTATTACCGAAGAGAAAGTGAAAGAATTGAATTTAAAAAAGATAGGAGAAAAGGAACTAGGAATTATCCCGTTTTCTCATAAAGAACCTATAAGAATTAAATCAGCAAAGTTTTTATTTGAAATTATTCTCGAAGATGGAAGTAGAGAAGAAATTATTGCATATAAAATTAAAAAAGAAATAATGCCAAATATAAAGTGTGCTAATTTAGAAAATGGTAGAATTCGAACGTCAGAAAAAGTACCAGACGTTTTAATTGGTATAAAGCACTTTTGGAAATTTTTCCGCAATTTGGTACCCTTATCAGATAATTTGTTTAAGGTTGACACTTCGGTTGGTACAATTATTTGTGGAGAGCTTGAAAGTGAATTAAATGGAATTTTATCAAAAAAGAAAAATAATAAAATTGTACCAATATTAAATATAGACTCTGATGAAAAATTAAATAATTTTTGGAGTTTGGAAACCATAGGAGTTAAGGATGACCCGACAACCAAAGATGATCAGGTTGCAATGGATTTCTTTAAAAAGACTATAAAGCGTTCTCCGAATGGTCGATATATTGTAAAATGGCCATGGAAAGAAGAAAGAGAAAAATTACCTTCCAATTTTTCTTTAGCCTATAGGCGTTTTGCGGGTTTAATGGAAAGACTTAAAAAGAACCCAGATTTAATGCTTGAATATGAGAAAATAATTGAAAATGACATAAAAAGAGGAGTTTTGGAAAATGCTGATCGAAACAAAGGATCAATAGAGCATTTCCTCCCTCACCATCCTGTCATCACCACTAAAAAAGTGAGAATAGTGTATGACGCGTCGGCTAAAATAAGAGGAGGAAAAAGCCTAAATGAATTGTTATATCGCGGTCCGATAATAATGCCAGAATTAGCTGGAATGTTAATTAGATTTAGGCTTCCAAAAATTGCCATTTGGGCAGATATTGAAAAAGCGTTTCATTGTTTAGAGCTTGATCCAGAAGATCGAGAAGTATTAAAATTAATATGGTTAAAGGACGTAAGAAAGCCAATCACTTCAGATAATATAAAATATTTACGATTTTCAAAGGTCCCGTTCGGGGTAATATCGAGTCCTTTCCTTTTATCTGCCACGGTAAGGCATCATTTAGAGTCAATGGATGACCCAATAGCACAAAGGCTTAAAAATAATTCATATGTGGATAATATATTGATAGGTGTTGATACAAAAGAGGAAGCTTCAGAAGCATATTTTAAATTGAAAAATATATTTAAAACAGCCCAAATGAACCTTCGAGAGTTCATTTCTAATTGTTTAGAATTTAATGAAGAATTGCCTATGGAAGATCGCTTAGAAAAAAGCAAATCAAAAATTCTAGGAATTCCATGGAATATTGAAACTGACAAACTTTCAGTAACTTTTCCTGTTGTTGAGAATAATAAAAAGATAAATAAAAGGTTGGTACTGAAACAATTAGCTAGCGTATTTGACCCGCTAGGATTTGCTTCCCCGAGTTTATTATCCGCGAAATTGTTTTTCCAGTCTTTATGGGAAAAACAGCGAGAATGGGATAGCATTTTAATCGAAGAAGAAGCCAACAAATGGTGTGAAATCATCGAAACATGGAAAGTTTCGCCTATTGAAATTGAAAGAAAAATAATAGATAAAAGCGGTGAATATCAATTACATGTGTTTTGTGATGCATCCAAAGATGCGTACGCTTCTTGTGTTTATATGAGATGTATCACCAGTCAAAAAATTATGCTTAATATTTTGTATGCCCGAAATAGACTCAAACCTAAAAAGATGAGCGTTAGTATACCACGAATGGAATTGTTAGGGGTACTAATTGCTACTAGAGCGGTAAATTTTGTTTCAAAACAAATTGGTTTAAAAATTTCTCAAAAATATCTTTGGTGTGATTCTAAACCTGTTTTATATTGGATTAAAGAAAATTATAAAGGAGAAAAATTTGTTGAAAATAGAATTAAAGAAATTAGAAGTCATGGTGATTTGAATTTTGGCTATATTCCAACAGAGTGTAATCCTGCGGACATTGCAACACGCGGATGTACACCTGTTGAACTAAGCATTAATTCATTATGGTGGTCAGGACCTGAATTTTTGAAAAATTCTGAAAATTTATGGCCTGACGAGTTAAATTTTGTTGTTGAAAATAATGAAAAAGAAAATAATTTTGAAGAAAATTTTGAAATTAATCAAATAAATATTAAAGAATGTAATAAATTCATTGATTTTAATAAATGGAATAGCTGGAATAAAATTTTAAAAATTATTTTAATTGTTTCTCTCTTCGCTCGAATATGGTTGAGTAAATGTAAAATGAAAATTAAGAGCGAATTTATTAAATCAATAAGCGAAAACAAAAGACATACAGGTGCTGATATTAAAAGAGTGGAAATATTTTTACTAAAATTAATACAAAAGGGAATTGACAAAAATTTAATAAATAGGAATACAATAATTATTACTGATAAAGATGGACTTTTTCGGTTGAATTCTAGAATAGGCAAAAGCGAAATGTCTGATGGATTTAAAAACCCTATAATATTGCCAAAGGGTCACCCTGCTGTAAAATTAATCATGGATAAATTACACATTGAGCTTTTACATTCAGGCGTGGACGCCGTTTTAGGAAATTTCTTAATTAAATATTGGTCACCGTGCGCCAGAAGAGAGGCCAAGAAAGTAGTAAGGAATTGTAAAAAGTGCCAAAAAATAAATGGACCGAAATTCGCACTCCCAACAATGCCAGGATTGCCTAAGGAAAGGCTAATTAAATCAAGAGCCTTTGAGGCAATTGGCGTTGACTATTTAGGACCTTCTCTCTTTAAAATTGAGAATGGAAAGTCTAAATTTTGGATTGTTCTTTTTACGTGTTTTACGACTAGGGCAGTCCATCTCGAAATAGCATTGGAGCTCTCGGCACTAGAATTTTTACACTGTCTAAGACGTTTCATCGCCAGTCGAGGATGTCCCAAAAAGATACTATCGGATAACGCCAATCAGTTCAAAGTGGTTTCTGAATTAATCGGCGCTAAGCTCGTAGGAAAATGGGTCGAAAAACAAACAAATGAGGAAAAAAGATTAAATAATTTTTTAATAAATAAAGGAATTGAATGGTGTTTTATTCCATCGCTTTCCCCATGGGCGGGAGGAGTTTATGAGCGTTTAGTTAAATTGGTTAAAGACTCCTTTAAAAGAACACTAGGAGGTGTTATATTAAATTTAGAAGAGTTAAGAACCTTCATAAAAGAGGTTGAATTTTCTATTAATTGTAGGCCTATTTCTTTTGTTTCTGGAGAGATGGATGGACCATCTTGTCTTAGACCTGTTGACTTTCTCTTGCCAAATATTGAAATTAATGAAAATATAAATGAGTCAGATGTAGAAGAAGAATTTAAAATAGGAAAACTGAGTATGGGAGATCAATTAAGAGTACGATTAAAAGCCACTCAAAAGGCCTTTGAAAAATTTTGGACGAGATGGACTCGCGAATATTTATTGATTTTAAGGGATAAATCGAAATGGACCCATAATAACGATCGGACTTCACTAAAAAGAGAACCAAAGGTTGGGGAAGTGGTGATTGTGCAACAAGAAGGCCAGCCAAGGAATACTTGGAGTTTGGGAAAAATTATTGAGCTAGATGGAAGCCCGCCAAAGAGCGCTAAAGTGCAAATAGGAAAAAGATGTTTAGTAAGGCCTGTCAATAAGCTTTTTCCGATGGAAACAAAAAATGACGTAATTAAAAATGGAGAAGAAAAAAGTGAAAATAAACTGGAGAATGGCCAAAATAATGATGCAAATAAAAATAAAATAAAAAATAAGGACAAAGAACAAAATTCAATAAATAATAATTCAAAAGGAATAAAAAATGGAGAAAATAAATTAAAAAATAAAAACAATATACATCCCATGGTCACCAGAGCAAAAAAGGCGACATTAATCTTGACAATTATAAATTTATTTTTATTAATGAACTTTGTATCTTCAAATCCCACTTATTTAGTAAGCTGCAGGGGTTGCAGAATGAAATGTAAAAATTTCGGATTATTAATAAGTGTCGGATCTGAAATTGACAAAGTAGAAGTTTGTTGTATGGGTACTTGTATAATCGAAACAAATGGATTGGAACATTTAGAATTAGGACTGCCAAAGGATGTAACGGCACTAGATTATAGATGTCGAGCAAAATATATAAATGGTCGACGAATATTTCGAGGAAGTATTTTTTGTCCGGCAGTAGATCCTTGTTTAAGAATTACAGAAATTTGGGAAAGGATATTAAATCCACAATGTGAATCAACAAAAACTATAACCATAGTTGGTATTTTCTTAGCATTTATGCTTTGCCTATTAATAAGCGGAATGGTTTGCGCTTGTAGAATTTTTTCAATATTAGGCAAAATAATTTTAATTATTTGGAGATTAATTAAAACAATGGCTAAAATTTCTTCTAAAAAAGATGGAAAAATTGAAAATAAGGACCTTGAAATACTTATTGATCGGTCCCATAAATTAAAGAAAATAAATAGAATAAAAAGGAATAGAAGATTAAACCGACTTGGATTATTAAATATAATTATTTTTATTATTTTTATGAAAATTGTAAAAGCCGATATTGAGGTTATTTCAATTCAGGCGAGATCGGAAGATTGTTATAGATACAAAAATTTAACAACTTGTAAAATTACCACTACTAATACCTTAACTTTATTACCTGATGGGCAGGTAATTTCCTTAACTTTAAAAAATGATAAAGGAATGATAATGGGTGAAATGGAATTTATTATGAATGGTCTTTCAATAAAATGTAACCAAAAATCTCAAAGACAATTGAGATCATATGAGCTTAAAGTTGGATCTGTTAAAAGGTGTCCAGCTCAAGGGACCTGTAAAGCTGGAAGATGCCAACATATTAGATCGAAAGAAAATGTTGAAGAGTTAGATGAATGGATTAAAAAACCAGGAAATTCATATTGTGTCGAAGGCCACGCATTATGGGGATATCAATGTGGATTACCTGGAGCGGCCTGCTATTTCTATAAAGTATATGCCGAACCAATTTCTGATGAAGTATATGAATTGGTTTCGTGCCCTACTTGGGATTACGTAATTGATATAGAAATGTCAATGAGATTTAAGGGAAATATATCAAAATATAGTTTTTCATTAAGTCCTGGAGCGACAATAAAATGGGATAAAATTAGAATATCTTTATTAGATATTACTCCACCTATGGCCCCAATTTTGAGCAGTCAATTTATAATTGGTAACAATGGAGTAGCAATGGTAGATAATTTTAAATCAGATTTAGAGTGTTCTGATGCCAAAAATTTTTCAAAATGTGAATTAGATATAAATTCTTGTAAAGAATGTTGGTTAGATAAAGAAGAGGAACAAATAAAATGTGCTTGTATTGATTTAATAATTGAGGAAATATTTAAAGACAAACAAAAATCTTTGCCTTTAGATACAAAAAGGATTAAATTAAGGAATAATGGAAGAAATATATATTCAGAAACAAGTTATTTACCTATAGAAATTATGGTTAGATTTGAGAATTATTCTATAGCTTCAAATATAGATATTTCTATTTGTAAAATTGAACCTATTATATTATCGGGTTGTTATAATTGCTTTGGAGCAATTTTTAAATATAAATGTTTTTCGGACTATGGAAGTCCTCTAGCGGAAATTAAATGTAAGAATGGTAACATTTTTACAAGTAAATGTTCAGTAAATGGGACTGAACAAGTTTCAGTTCTATCTTTTGATAGAACAGAAGTAAGAGAGTTTTGTGAAATTTTTTGCCCTGGAGGCAAAACAAACTTTACAATACAAGGAACACTTGAATATATTCTCCCAGAAAAAGCTAAAATTATAGTCAAAAATGGAACCCCAAGTTTATACACAATGGAAAGTGCGTGGGGAAGTATTTTTGACAATTCATGGACGAATTTTAAACTTTTGGACATACAAGGATTATTTTGGGAAATGATGAATATTAAAATAATTTCGATTGGAATTTTAGTCATCATTATCATTTATTTCATATTAAAAATTTTTTTAAAAGCCAACCCAATGTTAAAAATGTATAGATTAATCATAACCAGCTGTTTATTGTTGATAACTAATTTGGGGGCGGGAGGTTTTGGAGAGACACCTCCAAATTTTAAAAATTTTGTTGAGATGTCAAGGGGGCATTATTTTTGTATAAAAAGGTTTAAAAATTTTAAATTTTATTCACTTTCAAAAAATCATTTAAATTTAAAAATATTCATGGCCCCAATTCCCTTTACTCAATTCGCTGCTAATATTTTAAATTGTGATTTAGAAGATGTCTATGGAAGACTTTATTTTAGCCGTTTGGATCGGAATACAGTTGCTAATGAAGCAAGAAAGGTAGAAAATAATAATGGAAATATTTATTGTTCTACTAATGAATTTTCTTGCCCAAGGGGGGTTATAACTGGATTAGCCGAGTGGATATTGGTTGACGATAATAAAAATTTGGCTGTATATCCGGAACAAATCCCTCCACAATGGTGGAGTGAATTAATTAAAAGAAATAGGATGAATACTCAAAATTTCTTTTATGATGAGGAAGTTTCTAAAACAATTGATATGGGACCAGGGATAGAGTTAGAAAATCCTCTGAGAGGTGTACTTGAGTTTTATCCTTTGGAAGGATTAGAAATAGAAGAATATATTGAGGAAGAGGTCCCAGATATGGATAGATTAAATATAAACATTGAAAATAATAATAATAATATTCAGAATAATTATGGTAGTCAAACATCTGCACGAGCAACTATGGAAGTTGAGGTTAGTAATGGAAGTTTAAAAAATATAAAAATGGATTTTATTCAGGAAAAATTAGTTGTTACTATGGAAGCCAACTCGGATCTTCATTGTTCAAGCAGCGGATCTGAGGTATCCACTGTAGAAGTGAAGGTTAAGGCTAAATTGTTTCGTGGTCCGTTGTTGGGAATTTTTTTCTTATGTTTGGTAGTTAGGACATGGACTCCCGCTATGGCAGCACCAAACAGCAACACCCCAACAACACCCTTAGGGGACTCCAATTTGGATACGGAGGACCCAGAAGCATTTGAGGAGTTGTGTGATGCGTTTTTGGGCACACACAATTCTTCTGTGCCTCAAGGGGAGGCACAGGAGAATGCAACCAACACATCACAAATGTATTCAATCTTCGATCAATTAATGGATAATTGGGCAACACGTAACCAACACTTACCAACAACCTCAACAACTACAACTAGGCCAATCCAATTTGTGCCTCAAACAACAACAACAACACAACAAAATGCAGCTATTACCCAACAACAGCAACGACAACATGTTGGTGGTCCGATTCGTGCGCGAAGGCAACCCAGACAAAATTCAAATCAGGGTTGTTTCATTTGCCACGCTTCGGATCACTTCGCCAAATATTGTCCAGTAAAACAACCCTGCAGCAGCAACACGTTAATGCAGCGGACAACAAATCCCCCCAGCAACACACACAACCAGGACACCCAAACAGCAATGCGAAGCGTTGCAACACAATTAACAAGAATGAGCCAGCAGTGGACAAACATCCCTGCCATTTCAGCATTTCTACTTCAAATGGCACAATTCATTCTTTTGGCATTGGACGCTCCGAGACGACACTAATTGGTGGCCGGGAGTGTTTCCAACAGAAAGAAAATGTTTGGAAAGAATTGAAAGGAATTTTTGGGCGGAGAATAAAATAAATAAAAATATATTTTTATGATTAATACGTTTTTTCCCACGCAAATTTCACTCTTTTTAAACCGTCAAATTTTGATTATTTTTCAGTCGCTTTTGAATTTCGAATTTTGGAAGAAAATAAATATTTTATTGTGGAAATAAATTTGAGAGTTAAATTAAGGGGCTTTAGAGAAATTACCCTAGAAAATATATAGGAAGGAAAACCTTATAATTAATTTTAATATTTTGGTTTTCATAGTCGTCTTCCATTAGAATTAATTAACCCTTCTGAAGCTAAGTAATTCTTTTCATATAAAACTGCAGCTAAAGACATCCTTCTACTTCTAGATAAGTTTGGTGAAGTGCAGTGCTTAATGAAGGGTTGGGGTGAAACTAGGCCTTAAATAAAATGTTAGGTGATGGATAGATTTGGAATTAAATTCTCAATTGGGTGTGGGAGAGAGCTGAATAATGTGCACTTGAGATTTCAGCCCGAGGGTGTATTTAATAGTGAGGTGACTAGCGTTGGTGGATCCGGATACCAGAACCGAAAAGTCTGAACATTCGGAAATTTTCGGTTCGGATATTGGATCCAGATATCCTAAGATTTCCCTGGATCTGCCAACTCTAAAGGTGACACCAAAATTCGTCGTGCCATATTAGGGGTATTCCAATGTAGTAATAATATTCAAGATAATATGAAACTGAGAGACTTATTTGTAATTTTTTCAACCTACCATCTCCCTTATATTTACAATTTTTGTCGCAATTTTAATTTTATTTTTTCGTAATTTTATATAAAATTTAACTTTCACTTAAGTTTTCACCTGATTGTTTTCTTTTATCAAATTTACTACAAGTTTGTTCACTTAAATCGGGAGAATCAACAAAATGTTGAGGAGATAAAGGTCTATTTGTTTTTAATTTGCATTGTTTGGTTGAGGGAAGTTGATTTAATTTATTAAAAGAAGATAAACGTCTCTGAGAGATTTCAGCTTGATTTTGTTCTTCAGAAACATTTAAATGGTCCTTGCTTTTCCCTCCAACAATTTTAGAGGAATGGTCGTTGCCCATTTGAAATTTAGAAATAAATTTGAGGAAAAATTTGGAAATAATAAAATGTTTTCTATTTAAAAAATAAAAATAATGAATTGTTACTCAGTTAACTAATTTATTTATAAAAGTGACGAAAGTATATGTTTTCATCGGAAATTGTGTAAATATGGAAATATATGAACAAAAAAATATTTTTATGATGTATTAATGTGGATAAATAAATTAAATATAGCTATCAATTTAAATAAAAATAAATTAAATTATGGACTCACATGTATGGACTTACTATTTATGGACTTACATGTTGAGGGGAAAGTTAAGAATTATAGTATACAGGGTGGGGCAAAAGTTCGGCGACAAATGTTTTTTATAAAATCTATTGTACAAAAAATTTATTTAAGATAAAAAACTAATAAAATATAATCAATAGGATATAATAAACATTTCTTTAATGTAATTTCTAAAAATGACCGACCCTGACTGAAATACAGTCTTTTAAAAGTGGGTAAGTTTTTTAAAAAAAAACTGGCTGCCTCGGGATTTATAAGTAAGGTGTGCGGGCATATCGGAACGGACATATCGGAATTGGGGTGACAAAAATAATTTCTTGCGTGTTTTCGTTTTTCTAAAACATAAAAACACTCTTCTTCGACAGTACAATATATTATCCAAGACCCAGTGGATGTAGACCCGAAATCAGTAGGGTAACTGTTCTTACATTGAAATATCCCGATATGTCCGTCCCGATATGTCCGCGTGCCATAAATAAAGCTAGACCGATTGACACCCTACTGTAAAGCATATAGCTATTCATTTCCTAAGGCTGAGCAGTAGGCGGCGTGGTGTAATGGCTAACACATCAGTCCGGTCTACTGAAGATGCTGGTTCGCTCCCAGCCGCCGAATAACCCTTTGCACTAGCTAAAGGAGAGAAATAGCTATAGCCCAGCTGCTTTACTCTACTCAGGTTTGTAACAGTTCAACCTGGACTACAGGCATCGAAACTGAGTCTTCCGTTTAGTGGAAGTCGGGTGTAATTTATAAAAATGGACATTACAAATTTCAAATTAAATTGAAAATTATTTTTAAAAATTTTCAAAGAAATTTCAAAAATTTGAAAAAATAATTCCGTTCAAAAAATTCATCATTAAAACAAAGCTAATTTAGGAAATGGACGAACAAAAAATAATTGTAAAACTTTTTAAACTTTTTTTTTATTATTTTTTACTTCAATATGGAGGAGTGTTAAGCATACTTAAATGAATGGGCAAAGGAACTTAAGTTTAGTAGTTTTGAGAGTTGGGAAGGGAGGGGGAGAATTTGTCTATTAAACTTAATGGACAGAATTGTTTTGGGAATAAAATCAAAATGAGGACCAAAAAAGAATGGAAAAAAAAATTAAAATTAAATAATTAAATTTTAGGTGTTCGGAATATAAAAATACTTTTTTTGTTTTTTGGGGGTATTAATTAAATATTGTAGAGGAAAGTTCTGAAAAACAAACTAAAAAAATAGATGAATATTATCTGGAATTTTAATTGTAGAATTAGTCTCCGGTATCTATAAAATTTGATAACAAATTTTAAAAACGTTGATTATTTATATGAGATAACTTATTTGTTGGACTTTCAAAATTCATTTGAATATTCTTAAACTGGAAATCAGTTCATTATGTATATTATTTACTACTGACCAGGGATGGGACGGATTACCCTTTGACCCGATACCCGAAACCGATCCGAAGAAAATTTTTAGAACCCGATCCGAAATCCGACCCGACTTTTTTCTCAACCCGTCCCATTCCTGCTACTGACCTGTATTTACTACTACAATTTTTTACTTTACCTTAGTTGCAATAATAATTTGCTATTATTATTACAAATAATAATTTGTTGAATTTTAATAAATATTTAACAAGCTCAGGGCTCACTTTTTTACCCTATTATTTCAAAATTGAATTTTTTGTTAAAGATTTTCCGTAGAAAAACTATGTTTAGAAATAATTTCGTCATGCACTCTTTTCTCTTATAAATAAAAAAATTTTTTTTAATTTTATATATTTTTTAAATTAAATTTTGTAGTTTGTAATTAATATCAGACTTTATTATGTATTTATTCATTCAAATATGTACATAAGATCATTTTTCGAAAGATTTTGCCCTTTGTGAATTACGCCCTGTCGGCATATAATTTTGAGTTTTGAATTATTTTTAAAATTATTTCATTTAAAAATTCTTTAAAAAAATCTTTTTTAACCATTAAATTAAAAATATTTTTTATTTTAAATTATTTACAGCTTCATAAATTGTTAATTAAAATAATAAATTTTATGGGTTTTTAATTGAAGTTGTTGTTAACGTCCAAAAAACTTGGCTTTTACACGAACAAATGGCTCTATCTAGTTTACAACATGTATTCGTTGTAAATATATTTCCCAGAATCACGCTTCCACAATAATCATCGTTATCCCCAAAATTTATTCCAAAATTACAATATGAAAATTTTTTAATTTGATTGTGATTGTCTTCTGCAAAGCTTTCAAAAATTTCGCGTTCCGTCTGCCGCTATTTAGAGGTGATATGTCCTACGCCTTCCGTCTAGCGCATTTAAAATGCGCAGGGCCCTAGAAAATTATTTGAACTACTAGGGGGGGGGGGTAAATTATCGTTATCTTTTTTAAATTATTTTTTCTTCCCGAAACGGAAGAAAAATAAAATAGCCTCGCAAAAAATTCTAATTTTTTATTAAAAAATATATTTATTAATTTCAGAAAATGTATTATTTAAAATTAATTTTTTACATTTTCTTTTTGTTAATTTTTATCAACATTTCTGTCGGAAAGAAGTGCAAATGTTTAAATAATAAAAAAGAAAAATTATTTAAACGTCGGCATAAAAGAGGAGATAATTTATGTGATTGTTCTAGTGGAGGAGGGAATTTGGAAAAAAATCAAGGGGCAAATGTATTAGAAAAGCATGGACATTTTGAAAAAGGAGGGGAAGATGTTCCCGAAAGTTCTTCAAGAACTTCGAAGAAAAGGGCTTTGTATATTTTTGATAACTTTTACTACTCCCATGTTCAATTACATGTAAATATTTAAAAATTCTCTTATCTCTATGATAGACTATGTTATGTCCGAGAGTTATCCGATGTTGACGTGCAAAAGAATAAGAGTTTATCCAATGTAGAAATGTACAATGTATTAAGGTGAACTGGGCAGGAACAGACGAAGGAGATCAGTGAAAAACCGCGCTCCCAGCTGTTTAACTATTAATCTTAAAATTTCCTAAAAATTTTAACCCAATTTTCAAATCTAGTAATAATTACCTAATATTAATTAAAAATTCCAGTTAATGCTTGCTAAGGTTTTATCTGAACATTACATTGTGGTTGGTTATTTATTTTTACTAAACGGGATGAGATTAGGAGAGGTTCAAAGATTCAGAAATTTAGAAATATGCACAGAGAAATTAGTGTTAAAAATAAGTAAATGGTTTAAAGAATGAATGAAATGATTAGGATAAGCTATTGGATAGAGTTTCACCGGAAGTTCCGGTTCCGGTTCCGGAAAGTTCCGGTGTTTTTTTGGTTCCGGTTCCGGTTCCGGGAACCGGAACTCAAATTGGTTCCGGTTCCGGTTCCGGCTCCGGTTTACAAATCGGTTCCGGGCAAACCGGAACTTTTTTACACCCCTAAGGATTAGTTTTTTTTAAGAAATATGGATTGGCTTTCCCCGATTGGCCTTCCAAAATTCTCAAAATTTTCGCCTGCGGCGCAAGAAAATGAAGAAATCTAGCTACTTGGTCACACAAATTCTCAAAATTTTCGACTGCGGTGAAACCCTACTATTGGTGAAAACCCTACTCCGGTGAAACCCTACTATTGGAGAAGCGGTCAGAAATGTGCCTAGCACAGAAATGGTATGGCTAACAAAGGAGATATCGGGCAAATAGGCTAAACATTACGTCGCTTTGTCGGCAGTTCTTACAGTGAAATAAAATTTATTTTATAGGATTTGAATGTCTATAGTCAAGAGATAGGCGGTATCCCCATAAAGTTCAACCCAATGCCAAACGATTTGCGAATTATTAGAATGTATATAGACTACGGTCATTTGAATTTTGAAAACAAAATAAAGGAAGCTTACATAAATTATCAAAATTCAAAAGAATATATGTTCGGAATTTTGAAGGTATGAAATTCCTGATAAACTTTTTTGAGTAAAAAAGGATGGGAGCTGGGTTAATGTCCAGGCCTTTGCTGACATGTGGGGCGTGAGTTAACATTATACCTTGGAGCTTTATAATGTTAGCGGTTCTTGAAAAATTACTAGATATCTAGGATTTAATTTTTCTATTTAATTTAATCCAGCTTATTGGGAGATATCTAATATTAATTTTAAGATTTTATAAAAAATCCTCAAGTCAAAATTGGAGAGGAATATATAGGTATTCTCGATTGGATTCTTCAACTAAATCATCAAGAGAAATATTCTTTTGGAATTGCCGATTTTCTTGAAATGCCTGGATCTTTTGCTATTTTTGAATATTTGGGAATTGAAAAAACTTTTTATGTTTCTCCTGGTATTGCCCCTATACTTCTTCAATTTTTTGCAATTGATATTGTACAACTTATTGGTGGAGGACATACTGTTGTTCCGAGTAAATTTTTCGTAAACTTATGGTAAAATTGGAAAAAACTTGACACACATTTCAAAATACCAAAAAATATTTCATTCTTGTCGAGGCTGTGCGTCATGGTGTTTTGAGTGATTATTGGCCGGTTACAAATTTCCGGTTTTTCTTGGCCGGTTTTTCTTAGGTTGAAAATTCCTAATCAATCAAATCATATTGTAGCTCGGTTATAACTTTTTTATGCTTGATCCAGTACAAATGAAAACACCAAGCAGCAAATAAAATTGGGCATAAAACTTTTTAATGAGTGATCAGACTTGATCTATCCTATTATAAAAAATATGGAGCTTATCGAGGGATTTTGAATGATATAAAATTCACTTGTGCAGGATCAAGCATCAAAAATGTTATAGCTGTTCAAAATCGTCTGACACTGTTTGCGGTCGGATAACGAAAAAGTACCTTTTAACTATTTGCTAATGATGATTTATGTATCTCTCAGAAGATATTTAAAATCATGTATGGGTTGCTCTAAGTTATCTATTTGATTTATTCAAAAGTCCTTAAAATTTGCTTAAAAAATAGCAATAATTTTACCTTTCATTAAAAACAGGCTTTTAAAAATTTTCTAAAATTAAAATTAAAAACCTATTTTACCCTAAAGCAATGAAATTTGTAAAACCCGGAGATTGGATATTTACACAGGAAGGGTGTCATTTCAAACCAGAAAGATTTGAGGAAAATTTGGAAGAACTTAAACTTGAAATAATTTACTACTTCATACAGCGATCATCAATTTGTTATGAAAATTCCTGTTGCTCCAAAGACTTTTTCGAATGTCAAAATTACTAATGAATTTGTTGAACAAAAACAAATATTATGTAAACTATATTTTTTAAATTAATAATTGAGAATAAATACTAGTCTTTTACATTAATTAAGAGAGATTTAGAGATTATGGGGGATTAACAAGGATTTGAGGGTGTCCGGAAAATTGGACACTGAAAAATTGGGCTCTAAGTGAAATAAACTGAAAATTAGGCTCTAAAATTTTAGACCACCGGGAAATGGATAGAAATTATGAAGTGAAAAAAGGCTGAACATTATTGCATATTAAGGAAAACTCTGAAACTTAAAATAAGGGGGGTGATATTCCATAAAGTACCGGATTTGAGAGATTTATCAGGATATCCCTCGTCACAATAAAGTCATGCTAGTAGATCAATTTTTATTTTTATCTGTTATTTTTAATGTATCGAGCTATAGACAGAGTAGTTTCAATTTCTGTTTACAGAAAAATTCGGGGCCCTATTTGTGCATAAAGAGAGAATAAAGCGCCTGAATGACAGAAAGTTTTTTTTAATTTTTTCCATAAAAAGGGTGGAAAATAGACCAAAAATTAGTTTAAAAATTCAAAAAATCCTTTTATTTATATTATAGTTGATCCAAATACAAAATATTTTATTTCGCATTGTGGACAGAACAGTTTGAATGAGGTAAACACACATTTTACTTTCATTATAAGGTTGTCGGATAGTTGGAAATCTTCGGATATCCGAATCCGGTATCCGAACCGAAATTTTTGGATATCCGGCCTTTTTTCGGATCCGGATATCCTGATCAGACAACCTTATTTCATTATAGCTACAAAGGAATGTTCCTTTTTCCTAACAAAGTATTTTATAACCCTCGAGTTTGGATTAATATTAATATTTTCTATATGTAATTTGACTATGTATGAATAAAAACTTCCTTTTCCTAATTTCCTAAATTCAATAACTAAAAGATTCGGTTAAATATGATAAATTTATTTTGATCATAAAGACATTTTAAGGCAATATATGCAGCAGTTCCTTTAATTTGTATTCCATATGCTGGTGACCAATTTTACAATTCTTCTCTCGTCGAACATTTGGGCATTGGAATTTATGTGGGTCCAATTTGGACAGACATCGAAGGGGAAATTAAAAATCCTAATTTTCCACTTGAATTTATAAATGCTGTTGCTGAGATGTCTAAAAATGGGTAAAAATGAATTATTAGAATAAAGTATTAAATTAGACTCGTTTTGGGCCAAATTTTGTAGTTATATTTAGAATACCTACATAGGCGAAAGTTTGTGTAAACTATAAAATATTTTTGATTTGATAAAACCCTGGTTAAATCAACCCAAAGAAAATTGAAAAAGATCCCTTTCAGCAAAGTCTGATCACTATTTTGAGTTAGGGTTTGGCTAGTTCATGTTTGATTTTTCGTCATTTTATTGGGTATGTCTCGGAAACGAAGCTATCTCGTATCCGGAATTAAAACTGGGAAAAAAAGGGGGGAAATCTTAAATTCCAAAAAAAAAATTCACCAAAAAGCAAAATTCAACAACAATTTATTTTCTCAACAAAAATCTTTAAAACAACAAAACACAAAATATTGTTCTTTCCAAAATTAAACAAATGCACGAAAAAAAGGGGGAAAAACAGGACAAATTAATTTTTAACTGCAAAAAATCCAAAAACTGAGAAAACTGAATAACAAACATAAAAAAATTGTATTTTATAGAAAAATAACAAAAAGGGGACAAAAGGGCGGGGATAGGCCAAATTGAGCGGGCCAAAAATATTTGAAGAAAAATGATGACAAATTTTATTTTTCGGCCAAAGGTTAATAAATATAAATATTTTTCAAATCTAGAAGATTTGACATTCGGGAGCCCAAAAAAAAATTTAGATGAAGGCATAGGGTAAATGGGGGAATATGGGTTTAGGTTTTTGTGCAGGGACGGGTGGGGGAGGTCCGTGAGGGAATTTGATAAAATTCAACGGTATTGGTCCATCTATCTTCTTTTCCATCAACGGCTCAATTCTTCCAAATTTCTTCGGAACCATCAAATTTTTCACTCGGCCAGATGGTAGTATACGGACACGTGAATGAATGCAGGGGCGTTGACGGAATCGATTCTGTGCCAATGTTGAATTGTAATACATATTTTTAAAAGGGGGAAATTTAGGTTTGTATGGTTTATTGGTTATAACCTGTGAAGGACGTGCAGCAGTGATAATTTCCAAGATTTCCATTGTTGTATCATTTTTATCTGATGATGTTGGGGGAGGTGGTGGAGGATTTAAGTTAATTGTAGAATTATATTTAACTGGTGAAGGTTGTTGAACAGAAATAGGTGGAGGTGGTGCAGAATTTAAATTAATTGTTGCATTATTGTCGTTAGTGGTTGGGAGAGAGGACTCAATAGTGGCGGGGGGTGAAATTTCTTCATTATATTTGTTTAATAATTCTGGGGTTTTTTGGAGGGAATTGTATACTGAGCGTAATCTTCCAAAACAAAGTCCAAAATTCGAAGGAAGGGGTATGCTGGATGGATCAGATTTAAAGGGCAATTTTACTTCATAACGTCCATTTACATAATTAATATTTTTAATCGTTTCTTCATATACAGTATCGTTCTGGGAATTTACTGGAGTCGGTTCATCATTAATTCCTATTCCTTCTAGGGTAAAGAAATCAGACGGGGGTACTGTAGTTTTTTGGGTAATGCAATTAGTGTGACGGGTAAAATTATTTGGAACAAAATCATGCGGTTTTCCGGCAACAATTATGCCCAACAATGTATGAACGAGAGTATATCCAGAGGGCAATTTCATAATTGGGGTTGGTTCAATATCGTAGTAAAAATCTGAACCCAATAATACAACGGGTACAACAGTTTCGGGTTGAAAAATCAATTCATTCGAGTACGAAAGTAATGAAGGGGAGAAGGGAACGTAACGGGTAGGCTGAGTCAAGTGATCGAGTGTATTGGCTTTTAATGTAAGAGAACGGCCATCGGCCAAACGTATTCCAAATTCGGTCAAAAACGAGCTTGTTTTAATAGAGTAAGGATTGTTAAAAACTCCTAAATTCATCGAAGTGGGGGTTAACGGTAATTGCAGCTCTTTAGCTTTAGCAAAATGAATATACGTGTTTGTGCTCGCATCATCCAAAAGCACAATTACTTGAGAAAAGAACGAGGGATTTTTCGGGTTAAAGATGTGAGCTCTAACACATTTTAATAAAATAGAGCCACGGGGTGCTGAAACAGAGGACACATTTGTTTGAGACTGATTTACTGGACTGGCAGGATTATTTTCCGGGTTTACGGTCGGAACGGTTTGATTTGCGGGTTCAATAATATTGTTTGCCATAGGGGTGTAATTTCCATATACGGGCTGATTAACTGGTTGGTAATTTGAAAATAAAGGCGTTGGTCGTTGATAGCTACCATGAGAATAATTGGTTGAGTTATACGGTACTCTCGGCTGGAACTGCCTGTTTTCTGTAAAAGAATTATTTTGGGAATTACATAGTAAGCGGTGATGCATTCCGGAACAATTCGTACATTTCTGGGGATTTTGACATGCACGAGCAAAGTGACCATCCTTTAAGCAACGAAAACATTTCTTTAATTCTTTTAGGCGGGCATAACGTGAATTAGAGTCGGGAAATTGTCGGCAATAGGAAGAGGAATGCCCGTTCTGTCCACAAAAAATACAAGCAGAGATTGGCTTGGAATTATTGGGATGGGTCGGGGTACGCGCTTTTCCTTGCGCAACAAATGTTAGAGAAGATTGTGGGCCGTTAGGGGGAGAAAGGGAATTTCGTTGATGTTGGTAAATGGGTTTTGACATAATTGGAGGTTTAGGAAGGGGATTAGAATGGATGGCATTTATTTCTTGTTTTCGCTTTAGAACGGATTTTAGCTTCTTTCTCAGGTGGTCTGTGGTCCAAGCGTCGTGGGATGACTCCTTTTCTTTATAAATTTCCTCAAGAAGATAGGGAGGAAGCTTGGACTCTACTTCCATTTGAATATGAAGGCTATCCACGTTAGTACCTTGTTGTTCCATCTGAATACAGAGACCTTCAAAGGAATCGACCAAATCGTTTAAATCTTTACAGAAATTTTCTTTTCGGACACGGGGAAGGGTTTTTAGAGATTTATGCAAATTACGGGCTATCTCCTCGGGATTACCATATTTTTCGGTCAAAAGATCAACAGCGGCAGTATATGATTGGTCGGTAAGTGGTAACGGTTCAATGAGTGAAAGAGGGGCACCAGTAAGGCATGTTTTCAAATAGGACAGTTTTATCGATTCTGAGAGGGTTGACATGTCGCCTACCGAGGCCTGAAACTGGTTCCAAAATGATAAGAATTCTGTACACTTTCCGGAAAATTTTGGTAAGTCCATGCGAGGGAGATGAGAGTGGGACACTTGAGAGGTAGGTTTCGTGAGGGCTCCTTCTAAATTAGCACGGGCAGTACGTAAAGTTCGGTTGTACCTTTTTAGTTCATTCATAATTCTTATATAGGAAGTATCCTGCTGGAAATTGTCATAAATTGGAGTGTCTTGGGCTCTTTCGTTTCCTGTCATGGAAGCCCTTAGGGACATCCACCCATTATGTGCAATTGTAAAATCATCCAGGATCTCAGCTAAGTTTTGTTGGACAATATCGAGGGATTTTATTGTAGCTTCTACGCAATTTTGGAATTGTTTTTCGGAATTTAGGGGGTCTTTTATGGGAAGGGGAAATTGTTTATTTTGTTGCAAAATTAATTCCGCATCAGTACATGATTGGGTTAATTGCCGCTGGAAGGCTTGAGACATTTTTAATTATAGTTAATATAAGAATTAAGCGGTTAAATGTAGAAGTATTATTGGAAGAAATGAAAATTCAATAAAGCCAAAAATGAATTAATTAGATGGATTTAGAGCGAAAAAGAAAAAAAAATGGAATAAGCGGGCAGTATAATAAGGGGAAAACATTTATTATTTTTTTTAAAGGGGTTTTACTCGGTGAGGGTTCACCGGCTGAGCTGTCTCGGAAACGAAGCTATCTCGTATCCGGAATTAAAACTGGGAAAAAAAGGGGGGAAATCTTAAATTCCAAAAAAAAAATTCACCAAAAAGCAAAATTCAACAACAATTTATTTTCTCAACAAAAATCTTTAAAACAACAAAACACAAAATATTGTTCTTTCCAAAATTAAACAAATGCACGAAAAAAAGGGGGAAAAACAGGACAAATTAATTTTTAACTGCAAAAAATCCAAAAACTGAGAAAACTGAATAACAAACATAAAAAAATTGTATTTTATAGAAAAATAACAAAAAGGGGACAAAAGGGCGGGGATAGGCCAAATTGAGCGGGCCAAAAATATTTGAAGAAAAATGATGACAAATTTTATTTTTCGGCCAAAGGTTAATAAATATAAATATTTTTCAAATCTAGAAGATTTGACAGGTATATGTAATGGGGTAACCTTTAATTTTATTTAAAATTTTACTAAATTACAATGAACTGCCCGCCCCCTAATTTACCAATATTGCCTTTTTCTATAAACAATAGTTAAAAAACATCAATTTTAGTCATAAATATCAAAAAGCAATATCTGAATTGAGAAACAAGATCCTTTTTAATTACAACAATGGATTTAAAGCAAAAGATGTTTTCCTTCAAAAGATTGTAGAAGTTATTGGTGTTTAGTGAATTTATGAAGTAAATTTTATGGGTCTTGGAAAAAAATGAGTTTTGGATTTTTTAAATTTCATATTTTAAAATTTTCTATTTTTTCGGATCGCCAGGCTCTCCCTGTCTAATTTATTATTTTAAAATTTTCCTTGTTTAAGTTTTTCCTTAAAAAAACTATACAAACAAATTCGTCATGCCTTCTTTTCTCTTATAAATTAAAAAAATTGTAAAATGTATTTTTTTTCTAAATTTTTTATATTTTTTTTAAATTAAATTAGTCAATAGTAATTGTGATTTAAAAATATGTTTAAATTTTGTAGTTTGTAAATAAAATTAGAATTTATTATATATTTATTTATATACAAATACCGTATATCATTTAATAACTACCCCTGGTAATTATTGTTTCGGCCTTCCGCTGGATAATTATACTAGATTTAAAATTTTAACGTCTTAGGGCATCTGTTGGAGTTGTTAGTCCTTGAAATGTTAGTCCTCGCTTCCCTCGATACTCCTATGAATTCCCAAATCCATTCATAATTTATCTTAATCCCTCTATATCAATGATTCGAACTCAATAAGAGGAAAAGGTCAATGATAAATTTGACGAATATATCATTGACGAACTAATAGGGAACCATTTTGTGTTATAAATTATTTTAAAATTATGATTTTAGTTTCCATAGAACTTAAAAATTTCTTTTAACCCCCATGTGTCGCTACTACACCATCAAACGTCACAAACAAGACCTTTTCAATTCCCGCATAGTATTAGCCAAAAGGTAATTAATCATGGAATGATTAATTACCCTAATTAATCGTGATTAATTACCCTCATACTGGCAAATATCTACTATCAAAATGCGGCAAATATCAAAGGAAAAATACCTCCTATAGGCTAAGGTTTGATTGAGCGATTTGGGGAGTGAGCCTGAGAATGGAGGTGAGTGATTTGGGAGGGGGGAAGGGTTACTATAGTTGTGCAACATATGGGTGGTAATACATATGTATACTAATTAAAATTTATTTAAATATAATTGAATAAGGAAGAAAATTCTGACAATTGTCATATTAAGATAGGAAAGTAATGAAAAAACGATTCCCAATCTCTTTCATATAGAGCCCATATTTTTTTAGAAAAATTATTCATTTTAATCACTTCTTTCAAAAAATTTTGCCATAAAGTTTGAGCATTTAAAGTAATTTTTGCTCGTTGAATAATACTTAAGTTGGTGAGAAAGCATTAACCCCAAAGTAAATTCATTTTCGATACTTCGATTAATTAAACGAAAACATTCATCCAATCTTGAAGCCCCTTCAATTAAACCTAATCTTCGTTGATTATATCGAAGTAAAATTTTTGTGTATTTAATAGATTCGTCATAAAGTAATTCTTTCCCTTCGGGAGACAAGCAGTTAGCGTCTTTATATGAAAAAAATTAAAGTTTATTTAATTTTAATTTATAAAAAATTTCGAATAAAATTTCAAAATTTTAGTTACGGCGCTGAAAAAGGAGGGAAACTAGCTTCTTGCGGTTCAAAAATCCTTAAATTTTTTATTAGTTTTTGAATATTAGAAGGTTGAAAAAATAGCCAGCAGTACATACAAAAAATGTTAAATGTCGGTGTCTTAAATCAGAAAAAATTTGATGTGCCTTAGGTGTGCAACAGCAGAAAAAATTTGAGATTTTTGTTTTTTTCCTAAATACGAGAAAGACGAGGCATACAATGTACGAGTACGAGAATGTACAAGTACGAGGTATATAGCAGAGGTGGGTCGGAATTCCGATTTCCAATTTTTAAGCCCGTTCCAATTTCCGGCTCTGCCGATTTTCGACACCTCTGAAAGTTCCGACCCTTCCCTGGTATATAGTACGAGGTACGTATTTGTACAAGGTATGTATCATGCAATTCTGAATCTCCAATCACCATTCATTAAAAAGCCACAACACCACAATTTAAAGTGTTTACCCGATTTCGAAAGGATAATAGCTATTAACAAAGCAAATTCAACTTTTGTTAATGAAGCACGCTTAAAATGGGCAACAGATTTTGTGAATGCAAATTCTGACCATTTAATCATTCTAAAAATTGAAAATCAAAAAAAATTTTTTTTTTGTAATTTTCAGTAAAATTATTAGAAAAATATTTACTTATCATCATTTAAGAATAAAGTATTCTTCATTAAACCATAAGCAGGCATAATATTATCTTTAAGTGTCCAAGTTTCAGAGCCTAATTCCCAAGCTAGGTAAGTGCTTGTAAATGAAATAAACAAATGACAAATCTGCCTTAGATGTGCAATCTATTATTTAAAAATAATCTTTAAAACTTGACAGCAATCGAGGTCTAAACCAGACTCGTAGGCGAAAGAAATTATATCCGTATCCGTCCGATTTTAAAAACCGGACGGATTTTGCTATTTTTCATAAATTTAGCCAAATTTTAATAACAAATATAAAAATAGCTTATTCATCATGGTTGCGAAGGATGAGTTTACGAAGGAGAGGTTGATAGTTCAAAGGTGACCCTGATTTAAATTAGCCGAGGTTTTCAATATTTGACGGAAGTTAGGCGTATTTGATGCGGCCATTAGTGAAAAATCCGAAAAAGTTTGTCAATCGCGACATTAACAAGCTTATTGACACACCTGATCAGATAAAGTCAATTTTTCAAAAACAGGCATAGATTTAGCTATACCAACACACAAAAGTCGGTCAACTAACAAATATTTATGATAACGATTGTTAAGCATTCCCTCAGTTTTCAATGAAGTTTCCCAACTTTCTACTTCTTCAAGAGGTATCGGACTCGGATTCGGCTTTAAAACAAAATTTTTATTAAAAATTAAATTAAAATTTACCGAGAAAGTATCAACTAAACGGAAAATATTAAATTCAGATAAAATTATTTCTTCAAACAAAATCGGGCCTTTAAGGAATATATCATCCAAATCATTAAATGCATGCATAATACGTTTTTTGGCTTCAATGATTGGTAAAATTGAGTTGATTTGTTGTAGATCTTTCATAATTATGTCAACAATTGAAGGATTTGAAGGCTAAAAAGCAGAGATGTTCAGAATTTGTCTAGCCACATTAAATTTTTTTTTATTTTGCTCGTTAAATTACGTGGAAATTTATGATTCGACGGTTAATGCTAAGCTTGCGACCCATGTCTCCGCAAAGGCATTTATGCAAAAATCTGCATTCTACTTCTTTGCCTTTCTTTCTTGGCCCACATCACCCGAATAATTACAACACTAATCTGACAAATGAGGACAAAATTGGACGAAATCTGGTTCCTTTACCTTCCAAAATTTTCATAATTTTTGCCCGCGGCCGATTATTTTATACCGATTATCTTTGATCATCTTGGAGAGGCTCGGAAAACTTTAACTCCATATCGGACTGAATATCCACTGATATATTCACCCAACTCACCTGTCATCCTCTGTATTACCATAGTAACTCTTTAATTCTCATTGATCTCCCAAATTCCATGATGATTCCCTGTAATCCCAAGGAATCTCGTTAAATACCTTTGATCCTCTTCCGTAATACCAACTCAAATTACCACCCAACTCAAAATTAAACTTACTGTAATTTCGTTTTTTTGTTCTTCTATTGCTTCCAGGTTTATATCTTGACGTAAATACACAACATCTAAAATACTCTTTTAAAAATTATTTTTTTAACAAACTCAATCTTTTCATTCCAACAGAGAGACATTTTTCAAGTCTACATTTTTTACATTTTGCCAACTTTGTTTGGGATTTCCCGTCTTTATTCTCTTTTAAAAATTGTTTTTCCCAACATTTACATTTAAATGTGGATACTTCTCCTCTTTCAATATAACGCCTTTTGAAAAAAATTTTCGAATTAAATTTTATTAAGAAATACCTGAAAAAAGCCCCACAAGCCCTACATGTACTAACTCCATAATGAAAACAAACATTTTCTTTGGCCCCACAAACTTTGCATTGTCTAATGCAGTTTCTTTCCATTTTTTAAATAAAAATAAATTTTTCTAGAAAATTTTTTTTAATTTCGTTAAATATAAAAAATTTTTTTTGGCAAGATTGGATGTATATTAAATTTAAATTAGGTAATATGAATGATTCTCGTATAGCAGAATTTAATTTTCTTTTTAGTTTTTAAAAAATTATCAGCTAAATAAACAAATTTTCTAAACAAAAATTAAAGAGATACTCGAAAATTATTAGTAAACATAACGTGGAAACGGATGATTGAATTTAATCCATTATTAACGTCATAATTTTTTCTTATCCTTCTGGGAGTGATGATGGATTTTCCGTCTTTATTCTTTTTTAACAACATATCCCCATGATATCCCTAATACAAAATCCAGTTTTCAGACCCGAAAAATGCATGTAGAAAATTTTTAATTAGTTCGATTCCTTGTTTATTCTCTATCAAATAGGCTTTATTTGTCCCTTTAACTTTAATTTGAATAAATTTAGCCATAGATAAAGTGTCCAGCTACTTTCTAGACAACCTATATTTATTTTTATTTAATGATTAATAAAAATAAAGAAAAAATATTTAATTTAGAGAAATTTAATAGAAGTTTGCGGAAAAATCTGGGATGGACGTATGCCTTAAGAATTAAACCCCCAAAAATGTTTTGCCAATTTTGGAGGAAATTTATGAATGATGTTTGTATGTTTGAATAGGGTAGCTCGTCGAACCTTTGGGATCTGATGTATCTGGGATCGGCGTTTGTCGGGGTAGAGCTCTCGAGGTTCGTGTCGTGGTTTTTTCCAAAAAAAATTGTCGGGTCGGGGGACGGGGAGCTACCCTAGTTTTAAGCAAATTTGCTTGTTATTAGCTACAATAAAATATTAAACAATTTCAGTTTCGACTATTTTTACCAAAATTATCTTGATTTAAAAAAATTTTTTGTCCTGAGTCTAAACTTATGACCAGCACTGTGTTGTGCATGAATGAATGTTACTACGGAAAAAATTAAAAAATGAAAAATTAAGAATATGAGTAAGAAAAGGTACTAAATTGTAGTTTTTTGTGTGAATATCTACCGCCACAGAATCAAACAAGGAGAGCTGTCACCAGCTCTGCTTTACGTTGCCTATATTGTGTGTGTGTTATCCCACAATAGTATGTTAGATTTAAAAAGAAATTTTTTTATATTTCATTAAATACAAAAAAAATTATTGGCAAAATAGTCTATATATTAAATTTAATAAATTTTGGGAATGATTTTGATATAGCAGAATTCGTTGGCTTTTAATAAATTTCAGCTAAGCAAACAAATTTTCTAAACAAAAATTAAATGGGAGAAAGTTAAGTTAACTTGGATAACTGGATTTAATCAATTTAGTTTACTTCGAGACTTACTGGGAGAGAAAATTTAAGTTAATAAGCAAATTATTTTATTTGAATTAAAAAATCTATTCTAACAGCTAATTAAACAAAAAATTTAAATGAGACGAAAATTAATTTTTTTATTATTGATTTAAAAAAATTTTCTTTAACTTAAAATCCAGGGATTTGTAGTGATTAAAAAATAGCGAGAGATTTGGAGAGATTTGGAGGGATTTTGGAGAGTTGGTGGAATTAATGGGAAATATACTTATTATTTGTTAATCTCGACAGATCCTCACTAATTTCTGCAAATCCCACTATTAAACATATAAGTAAATAAAAATTTCGAAACTTCAAAACTGTTTAGGCATTGATGGATTTTAGTCAGATTTTTCTGCAGGAGATGTGACACTAACTAACGATAAGACCTGTATTAATTTAAAATTTTTATCATTTACCCATTGCGTAAATTTTTTAAATTTATTTCTTTGAATATTAGTAACAATTTAAATGGCTGCTTGAAACAAAACTTACTTTTTTCGGATTTAATTAAATTATTACAAAACTAAGCTTACAATTCTACTTGAAATTTTATTCATACTAAACGGAATTTTTTACACTGAAGAGTCGGGCCCAATCCTCTTTCTTAAGGAATTTGAGAATTTTTTCTAAGGCATAGAAAGTCTCTTTATATTTTTTAACATTTTATTAAGAATTTTATTAAAAAAATTTTTTTTATTTTTTTATTTGTCAATATATCGACTAATTTTTAATAAATAATTTTTTTAGCTATCGTTGAATTGCTAGGGAGCGAGAGAGGGAGAGGGAGAGAGAGAGAGAATGTAATAGAATATAGATAATAATTTACTTCGAATTTGCGGATTATCCGCAATGACAAATTCTTTTTAAATATTTATACAATATTAATTCCTTTGAATTCTTTTAATTAATTGAGTTGCTTAATAAGTAATAGAAATTTTAAAAAATAATAGAAATTTTATTCAAAAAATTTTTTTATAAAAAAACTTTTAAAATTATGCCTACTTCGAATAATTACCCACCAAATTAAATTAAAATTGGATGTTAAACAAAATGAAAAAATTAATTATAAAAATATATAAAGTACCACCATGCGGATTTATATGGTTCCATGCTGTGAATATATCCATGTTTTATAAATACCGTATTTTCTCGATTAATTCCCCTGAGAAATTATTTTTTCAACCTTTCCTTAGCATGGGGAATTAATCGAGAGGGGGAATTATTCGAGGGAGGGGAATTAATTGAACAAATACGGTACCTAAATACTATGTATATTATCGTATATGCTTAGAGAAAGGGGGCCAAACATAACATTCAAACTTCACGCCGCTGTTTTTTAAGTTCAGGACTGGATTGGATTAATAATCCCCGATAATATCCATTAATAAGTTGAAATATTAATTCCATCGGGTATTAATCAAGGAAAACCAGTAAGTTAATATTTAAGTTTTTCTGCAATTTTAATTATGTGCGCAACTTAAAATTTAAATTAAAATATCGACTTGTTAACTATAAAAAAATTTAGAAGGGAGGTATTGCTTGTCGCTGCCTCCTCATTTACTTAATTGCTTGCCTATTTACCCAAAAAAATCTTATAGCTTTGACATTATTAAAATATAAATATTTTTATTATTTAAATAAAAAAAGTTTTTATTGTATTTCTATTAATTGTTTGAATCGTTTGGAAGTTTTTTCGGTACTTTAGCATTATCTCCCCACAACTTTCATAAATGTTTGTCCGCAAATTTTTGTAAAAAATAATAAATAAATAAATCAGCCAAACACGGCGATGAAACACCCTGCTAGATCTTCTTGATATCCCTCCAATACAATTATCTGTTGATGAAAAATGATTAGGCATCCAGTGTATCAGGTGTCATGTTATCAGGTGGTTTAAAACGTCGAAAAATCGAGTAGACTGATTCTATTCGCCTCGACGAGCTGAATCGAAACATACCAGGGCGTCCCGGATTCGATAATGTTATTATATGTATGTAAATAAAGATATAGCTCTGCAGTTTATTGAGGTACACCCATCGTGTTACGTGACCAATTTAAAAAAAGTGTACATTTAGGTAAATTATCCTTGGCCTAAATAAATATTTCTTAATTTAGAAAATGTATTATTTAAAATTAATTTTTTACATTTTCTTTTTGTTAATTATTATCAACATTTCTGTTGGAAAGAAGTGCAAATGTTTTAATAATAAAAATGAGAAATCATTTAAACGTCGACATAAAAGAGCAGATAATTATTGTGAATGTTTTGACGATGAGGGGAATGAATATGGAGAATATTATGGAGTAAATACAGATCCGCAAGATCATTTTAAAGAAGGAGAGGAAGATGATATTCCTGAAAGTTCTTCAATAATTCCAAAGAAAAGAGCTTTGTATACATATTTGTGCTAACGCTTTCTTCTCTCATGTTCAATTACATGTAAAAATTTTTTCAATTCTAATCTTAACATAAGCGTATCGCGAATTACATCCGAAAATTAGAGATAGCGCAAAAATTTATTAGGAATTTACAAAAAAATTTATCAATCTCCCCTTTGTCGGAGCAATCCAAAATGACCATATTTAGTATTGTATAACTGAAGAAGAATTTCAGTTAAAAAGCAAACTTCAGGATTAATGCCTGATTTGCGTTTTATGAAATTGATCAGTTTCTAATGAATCATAAAAATCTATTTGTATGATCCACAAATAAATAAATTTCCTATAAATTTAGTAATTAAAAATTACAGTTAATGCTTGCCAAGGCTTTATCTGAACATTACATTGTGGTGAGTTATATAAAGATATTTTTGCTTAGATTGAGATTAACCAACTTGTCGAATTAGTAAGTGGAGGGTAATACAAATAAATAGTAGCCCTATCTATAATAAGATTAGGGTCTTACAAGAAATTAATATTAATTTTATAGGATATGGTTGTTTACAGCAGAGAAGACGGTATTCCCGTAGAGA